AACCTTAATGGATTGGAGCGGCGGGCAGGACGGCCTAGCAGGTGGTTTCCGCCGTGCACATTCTGTGCAACCTTGCACAAGGTCAGCCACATCGCTTGCCATGCCCGGCCAGAAAAATTCCAATTGGATTTTAGCTAGTGTTTTCTGAACACCCAAGTGCAAGAGGCGACTGTGGGTTTCCCACACAAGTCGCCCCCGCAGGGAGGTGAGCACCACCAACGTGTGGGATTGGGACCCCCCATCCCAATGCATGAGGACGCCTTCCCGGATGACAGCTGATACGGGGCCCCCATGCCCCCTGTGACCCTCAGCATCCCTAGCGCCGCGTCTCAATTTGAGGAGGGAGACGTCTTCCATCTGAAGACGTCCCCAGTCGTCCAACCCGAGGTCCAGCAATGCGTCCTGCGGAACTTGCGTGGAGGGAGCCCCGTGGTCCCCGACCCCATCCCCGGCCGCGGCCGCAAGGGATGGGGGCGATACCCCGTCAAGCTGCCTACAACGCCCCGCACCCAAAAAACAAGCACAGCGCCCATTGGTCGGCAGTCGCGACAACCCATCGGCGTTCCCGTGTTGAATCCCCTTGCGGTAAATGACAGTGAACGCAAAGTCCTGGAGGCTCTCGAGCCAACGCGAGGGCTGTCCAGATGGTTGGTCCACTCGCAAGGCGTATTGTAGCGCCGCGTGGTCGGAGCGTACTGTGAAATGCCTGCCATACACGTATGGTCTGTACCGCTTTATGAAAAAAACGATAGCAAGCAATTCGCGGCGCATCACGCAGTAACGTTGCTCCGCGGGCGACAGCACCCTGCTGCCATAGGCGACGACGCGCTCCACTCCATTGACAATTTGCGACAGCACCCCTTTTATGCCTAGTCCCCAACGAGGGGTGGGGCCGTGTGCGCCCCCAGATATCCCACAGAGCACACACAGCCCCCCCCCGTTGGTGGCGCCACGCGTCTTAAGCGCCTGGGCCACCCGGGAACCCAACGCCTGGCGCCAAGAGGCTTAAGCGTCTGACCCGCCTGGGAACCCAGCGCCTGGCGCCAAGGGGCCCAAGCGCCTGGCCCGCCCAGGGTCCCAGAGCCCCCAGCAGCCCCTCCCTTCTTATGTCACTACACTAATGACGGTAACATGCATATTTCCTCGGAGCGAAAGACAGGAGTGATTTGGGCAAACATCCTGTAGTGATGTATATGCTTCCGTGTGCTCCTCGCCTGTCTGTGCAACACTGCACTTCAAGGGACCAGCTACTCCACACTCGGCTATACAGACACACACTCCCTGCACGCACGTATACACACACATACGTTCGCACTCACTCACATATGCATGCACGCACCCAATCACGTATGCACTCATGCACTCACTCACTTATGCACTCACGCACGTACTGTATGCACTCATTCGGCCATGCATGCACTCGCAGCTCAGGGTCAGTTGTTTATTAAATTCATGTTTTGATTTTGTTTCTTTGTACTTTTACATCATCGTCCTAATCACCATCATCAGCCATGGTCAATCCACTGCTGGATTAAGGCCTCCCCAAGCTGCTGCCACCACTCATGATCCTGCGATGCAACGATCTACTTAGCACCTTCTCAGCGAACACGTTACAACCCTTGGTTATACTTAAATGGAGATCAGTTTTAATTATTAGTTATATACTGTACCAGATATCCTACTTCCAAACACAGTCGCATCAGATTAAATTGGACGCTAAATAATCCGAGCGAACATTGTACAGAATCATTTCCATAAGTAACATCTTATCCTCATCTCCAATTTTGCAGCCAAAATAAAGGTGATGGGCTTTCTTAACCATAGTGGTTATACTGCACTTTTGTTATGTAAACGTCACTTCACCACAAACATAGCAGATGTGATCTGCTTTGTTCACACAAGTACGAGGCATATCTGCTCACTTTGGCTAAACAGAAATGTGTCCCTTTGCAAAATCAAACACTGACAAATAAGAGAGCACGACACTGTATGATTTCTAGAGCTGATATAGGGCTATTTGTTCAGCAGATGGATATAAGCTTAGTTATAATTGCATCATCCATGACGTCTAGGAATAACGTGATGCAATTCATATCATGTATGATGCAATACCAGGTTCAGATTGCATCATTCATTGTTTTGCTCAAAAGCAAGCATTGTCCAAAGCCAGTCATAGATTTTTTCATAGATCCAGTCAAAGATGTATTTTAGTCATTTCTGGTTTAAATTGAGAACCCTTCTCTTTATAAATCACTTATCCTCCACCATTCCCAAGTCAAGGGTCGTATATACTGACCCAGTAGCATATCTTGAAAACTAGAGTCAATCAACAATTTTAAGCATCATTTTCATTCTCAGTGACCCAGAATTAGTTAAGTTGGACTATATTTATTTCGGAGGCATTTTGGCTGTAGACCAGTGTAATTTATCGCTCATGCCTGAGCCAAAAACCGCCCTGTGTGGCAATGTCCTACGTTTAAACATTCTACTCATCGCTCGACTTATAGACAAACACATACGTTAAAAGCAATAAAATGCAGAACTTATCAAAATAATATGCTCATCACTTAAAAGCACAGATTAATGTTTGATGTATGTAATGCGGGGAGCGGTGTGGGGACAGTGGTTGTTCGGCACTGCACTATGAACCATGGCATTCCGAGTCCAATTCGTGGCCATGACAAACATCGGCAGCGATGATGTCCGAATCAGTCCTGGGCCCCTGTGAAGTATGGTCAACCAACCCCCGTGACTGCCACAGTGTGGAGGAGCCTTTCATCCAGTGGATACATTGACAAAGGGCCGTAGGGTATTATGATTGCATTGGTCCACTGGGAGTAATAGGATAGTTAAAACTCGGCTTGGGGTTGCGAACTGTAACGTTGCAGAACATTTTAGTTATTTTTTTACCGTTCCACCCATTCCTCCTCAAACTCCCAACTCCCCCCCACCACTGCCCTTCCCCTATAGAGAGCACAGAATGTGCATCTACCGCTGTGACTTCTGCAATGATAAGCCTACAAGTCGGCGACTGTCATCGCTGCCGATGTGTTGACGCTGGCCTGCGATGAGGCTGCAGTTGTGCAATTTTGGTGACATGGTTGAGGAAATTTACTTTCATAAAAGCTCGTGCCAAAATCACAGCGGTTGTCCCAATAGAGACGCTGATCACTCGCCCCCCTTCCACGAGGCTGGCAGTAGGTGGCAGTTCACTAATGAATTATTTTATTGAATTTTACCCCCCCCCCCCCCCATATACATGGTGGGTTTTCTCTAGGTTGCTCAGTTTCCTCTGACTTGAAACCAAACTCTTGTTAATGGACTTGGGGAATTTTCCCTTATAGAAAACAGTCTTGAGACTCATTGAGCTTTTCCAAATTAACAAATTGAGGCTTTTTCTCAGTAAATGAAGGGCATTATTATTTTATTTATTTTATTTGGAATATGGCATTTTCACCACTGGGTCAGACCACCAATGAAGATGAGCACCAGATATTGTTATTTAAGAAGGATCATATTTTTACTTTTAATTGACACTTTATATGTATGTATGTCTGACAAAAACATTAGCAAGCTGAAGCGTGGACGCATTTTTTTGACACGTGTCATGACGAGTACTGCAAGATCCGACCATGTCCGTCCGGTGCTCACCGAGCTGCATTGGCTTTTGGTTATTGAACGAATATATGAAAGGTCACGCTCATTACACACAAAGTGCTTGCCATTAATGAACCACAATACCTTGCTGATCTTGTGAAGGAGCAAAAACCATCACACAAGCTCCAGTCATCCTCGCAGCTACGAATGGCTAACCATCGAACAAAAACGGTCACTGCATCGTGTGCTTTCAAATGTGCGTCTACGGTCGTCTGGAACGCTCTTCCTTCCGATATGAGGAAGCCACTGGGGCTATGCACCTTTCAATCTAAATTGAAAACTAATTTCTTTAGAATTTCTTTTTATGTTCAGTTTCTTGTCCTTTCCCTACAACTCTGTTTAGCGCAGTTGGCTATGCATGGTGCGAAACAAATTCAACATTCATACATGTGCAGACCCTTTCCACCAGCAGTGACATGAGGAATCAATTGCAGGACTGCACCTTTACCTTTTAAAAATGCATTTATTATGGTGGTGGTAGTGGTGGTGCAGGGAGGAGATCTAGGGCATATCAAGTCCTCCTCAGGACCATCGCGCCTCCTGCGTTGTTTGCTGTTCTCTCTGTTGCCACGGGAGCGAAAACCGCACAAAGAAAAAGTCACCCGAGGTCTTGCGTGGCGTAAACGTCTATAATGAATCTACCCGCAATGCGACTCCGGGGAGCTCGTCTGTAATTGTGATCGCTCCCTTCGCGAGGGTAATGGAGACCAGGATGTCATTGCCACAGCCATTAGTATAATAGAAGACCGGGTCCTTCAAGCAACCTTTTAAGTCAATAAAAGCACAAATGTGTAAATGTATGAAAGAGAAGATTGGAAATGAGCATATCTGTGATGGGACCACTATGGATAGAGTGGCCATTCACATGTGCACTTGGAATAATAGCGAGTGGGCAAGAATTACAAAAGTAACATTTGAGCTGATATTGCTGGTTTAATTGTTTATTTTCGATATCGGTTGTGACAATGTTGAGCGAGTGCCTTGTGTTGGTTCACATAGAGGTTGTGTCACTAATCACTGCCACAGGGACTCCTTAGGCATCTCGAGTCTGCACACGTTGGGGTTTAAACACCAACATTCTCATTTAGTGAGGGAGATGTGCATGCCAGCAGGCTGGGCTTGAGTCTGGCGTTACTCGCATAGTACACAACACAGTGCCCTGGAGCTCACACGAACCTGTAAATCGCAGATATCATAAATCACTTTCTCAGTCTCATCCCACCTCTCCTGCCGGCTGCATTAACGAAGAGCTGCATCGCAAGGCCGACGGTGCACTGGTAAAACTAGGCGATTGCTTGAAACGAAAATCCCTTCCACCCGTCGTCTGTTCCTGACGCGCACAGGACTCGACCCTTCCAAGGACCCCTGCCGCAACGTCAAATGCAGCCGGCGCAAGGTGTGCGTTGCCCGCGACTACAGCTCCGCCAGCTGTGTCAGCCGCAAGCGCCTCGTGCACAGGTGAGCGACGAGGGGGGGTGAGGGGCCGGTTAACGCGTGCAGAGGAGGTGTGTGGGGGAGATGCAGCACCTCAATGACGACACCAGTGCACCGTGAAGGTGGGCGCCCATGCATGTGCAGTTTGGCTGGCGCCGGATGTGTGTTAAAGCTGTGAAAAAATACGTCTGCGACATACAGTAGATTATGAGTGTTCTTTCGGTAAAGTCACATAGGTAGAAAAATAAAATAAAACAAAAAATAACATATCATGCCGTTTCGATCGCAACACAAGTGGTGTTGCGATCGAAACGTGACTTTACCGGAAGAACCAAAGAGTATGGATTCCTGCAGTCCCGAAAGCTTCAAATCAAGATTATGAGTGTTATGAGCAACCAATTGGAGGATGCAAGCTGTCGCCCGAACAGATGTCGTGTTTCTTGCAAAGGTTGTGGAAGTTCAGTACTTTGGAGTTTTAACTTCGTAAGGAAATAATTGAAAATAGTTCACGAACTTGCATCGGGGACCATTCTAAGAATTGTTACAAGGGGCAGCTTTTTGGTTTTTACATAATGGCAGTGTTTTTTTACTCTGGCAAATGTTACCATTGATACTTTGTCGATGAAATAAGCAGCAAAGCTTCACCATTTTGCAAAGGAAGTTTATTTTGACATCATAAATTTCCAGGGAATTTTTGAAAATCGAACGCCCTTCGAATCGAGTAATTGGGCGCAGGATGGTGAGCGTGCTGACCACGAACCTGCCGGCAGACATTTGTTTCTGAGTGTGTGGATGGCACGGGGATAGTCAGTGCATCCCAAGAGACGTAAAACTACATTAGCCACATGCCCTCGCTGTCGTGCTCTCCTGATATCCGCAGATCATTCCGGTTCAAGCTGAGCCGCTTGGGCTGGTGTAGGCATTTGTCATGTTGCACTAAGACAAGGACTGCCCGGTAGGATGCCTATATTAGCTTGCAACAGAAAATAAAAATGTGTGCACTGACCCACGTTCACCCACACTGGGATGCAAGGACACCGTGCCAAGTTGGCACGTGGCAGGGGGTGGCGACCTCGCCCTGAAGCCACAGCTTGAGCTGGTTACAGTGATTACCCCAGGGGGGCACAGTGATTACCCCAGGGGGGCACATTAATCTGCAAATGCGGACCAACACTCTTACGCTAGTGATTGACGTACTGACGCGCCAGCTGACACACTGCCGCTCAGGCTGACAACCTGACAAACGTTCCGAGTGTGCTGATGACGACAATCTGTTCTGCCAAGGGAGTTGCAGAGGCATTTAGAATGCGCTAGAATGCATTGCTCTTTGACCACAGGTGATCTGTATTCCACGCCCGAGCCTACGATCTGCACAAGCCATGTTTATGTTTGCGCAAACACGCATGTGCGTGGAACAACAGCTGCCCAACGTATGCACATGCTCGTTGGCAAACACAAGCATGCTCATGTCCTCGAGTTTGCAAGCGCGGCAACATTTTCCTCCTCGGGGGCTTCAACATCTGTAAACTGCCCACGCCAACGTGGAACAAATCCCAGACCTGGTTCAACCTTTGAAAATGCAACCCGCTGTTTAACAAATACTTCCTCGTGCTCTGAGATCAATACTGCTGGGACAATGGGCCCTTGTAGTCCCTTTGTCTTTTGTGCTTGACAGCCCACACACAACACAAGAGTATATCACATAGCGAGGCGTGTATATAACGTATGTACATGCTCCCAGCTCCACGCAGTCAGTTGAATTGTGCCTTGTGAAATGGTTTGCGGTGCAGGGCCAGCCAATGTAGACATGGCGATATTGGTCATTTAAAGGGAATTGTTTAGTAAATTATGTTTGTCAAATGCGGGAGGGTACGTGGATCTTTTGTGCGTTTATCAAAGTAATTGCTCTGTAAATAAGAAATAGGGAGATGGGGGGTTATTTAAAGAATTGAATTACGCTGGTAATTGCTATTTACATGGTATGGACGAACGGCACTTTTGAACGCTATAAATAAAATTATTTTAAACTGTTGCTGTGTGCATAGCATAATGAATAGTCGACTTTGTGAGGTATGAGGTTTTCATTATCTGCATTAGTTAAGTGCTGTTATGTGTGTATTTCTTTTTTGCCTGTTTGTATATGTCCTTGTATTTTTAATTCACATTCTATAAGTAAATCATATTTCAGACAAGTTGGCATGAGGTCACTCATAAATGGGTCATGAACCACGAAATTGTGGAATATGACACAAAAACATGTGAGATGGCATGCTTTGTCTACTTTAATAATGATCATGATTTGTTTTTGATGGAGCACCCCAGTCCCAGCTGTCCCAGGGGGTACACGATGTCTGCACCTGACCTGAAATCAGGCAGTAGTGGGGCGATTATAGCTATGTGTAATCTCAATTGAGTAGTTTGCGGGTAATTTGTATAATTTAGAAAGTTTCATCCCCTAACGCCCGGCAAATAACGGCCTACTAAGTTTGAATAACGTCAGGGGATTTTGACGTGTATTGTGAAGCACACGTAGTATTTTCATGATTGATACACCTTCGGTAAGAACCAGTGTGCCACCAGGTGCAAACCGCGGACCTTTGCAATCAGCGGCTTGGGCCAAGTCACCACCAAATGAAACCCCCATTTTAAGTTATCTCTAGCCATTACGATTGTATCCATTCACAAGGGCCGTCAGCTGCCAGAGGTGGCGCAGGAGTGTGAGGATGCGAGGGTTGGCGGTGATCTAAAATCGTGAAATACGGAAGGTTGCAGCTCCTGTGTCCAGGTCAAAGGTTGTGTGTCCAGGTCAAAGGTTGTGTGTCCAGGTCAAAGGTTGAAAAAAGTAGGATTCTCCCAGAAAATACAGCCATGTCGATGCATAAGAAATATTTTCAGCCATTCTGCACTTTTAAATAATAATGATGATGATGGTGGTGGGGCCACTTAAAGGCTTGATTTTTCAATTACATAGCTGCAACGCCAGTGAATGCTACCGCTAAAGCGAAATGTAAAAACCTCTCTTTGCAAAAAGTTTAATGTAACACCGGTAAATACCATTGGAAACACAAAATATAAACTTGGTTTGCAAAATGTATACCGAAGCACAATGCAAACATTATTTTTGAGTTTTAGTCATGTGGAAAGATATATGGGAATGGCCCAAAACTTCTTGAGAACATTTATTAACATGCAGTCTTTTTTATAGCCCAGTACAGGTGCCAAACACACCACTGCAGGACTCCTGAAAACGAGTCTTCACACTCGCAGTGAGGCCTTGTCTGGATAAATAGAGGATACTGATATTAATACTGTAATCATTACTAATTATATAAATATTAGGTGAATGGTTTCATTTTAATTTCTGAGGATTAGTGTATTCAATGAAATTACAATCAATGTAAATTGTAGTTTTCTTACATGTTCAATAATTATTTCCACCATCTCAACCATCCCAAGCACCCCGCACCCCACCTAGGATCTCCCGACTCTCTAGCTGGCTTAGTGGGCAAATTCTGTACCTGGTTTGAAGCGTTCGTGACTGCAGGAATTATTTCGGTAAAGTCACGTAGAAAGAAAATAAATTAAATAATACGACGTTTCAATTGCAACACAAGCAATCGTCATCAGATAGAAAACAAACCTAGTGAACTTAGAAATACAATGCAATCCAACACAGAGAGTCGGCTAACACAACAGTCAACACCTTACCTGGTTGATTACGTTCTTCCAAAGATTGCAAAATTTGAGAGAGAGACAAAACAAAGACATGGGGACACACAGACAGACACACAAGCAGAGAGCGACACACAACATGTTACTTTACCGAAAGAACCAACGAGTAAATTCTGTACCACTTGCCAGTTGTTTCAGTCTCACCCTGGTCCACTCGACTCGTGCATTCAATGTCGTGTGAGTTTTATCCGCCGGAGCATGTGGTACAGAATCAAAGCGTGGCCTGGGTGAGAGAAGCCTCTGCCTTTTGAGAGCTATTGGAGGCCTGGTGGTGCGTTGAGAATCAGACTGTTCCGTGCTTTCTGGTGAGCTCTCGCTACAATGCCTATGTAAGCGTTTTGTTAATCAATATGAAAGGGCCGATATTGATTTGTTCAGCTTTTCTCTTTCCTTTGCTGCAAGATGAAGCCTTGACCCTCATCAATCTTTGGACGGAATTTACGTCGATGTTACCACAGCTTTGATTGCGTTTCGATAGCATCATCATTACAATATTTTTTTTGTGTCAACTCGTTTTCGATTATTACTGTTATCCTTTGATTCGAGAACAACAATTGCAACCATATAAGGGAAACATAACTATGGATAAATTGGCAAAAATGTATTACTATTGGGTTATGCAGTGTTATTAATATTTCTACTTTGCGATGTGGTTGATATTGAAGTGTCAGCAGCACCTGCGATTAATACACCACAGACATTTATGGAAACACCGGATAAATTGCTTGGAGAGAGAGAGTGAGATAGAGTGAGAGAGATGCTCTCTTGCTTTGATGTTTCCCTTTTGTGCGCGTTCTCGCACCGCCCTGCGTCACCGACTTGTGGCATGCGATGTTCAAGAGTACGTTTGTCCTGGACATTAGTTTCAGGATTAATTTTCCACCATCAAAAAAAGTTCAGGGAATCAAACCAACTCTGTTTTTCTACATTTCCAGTGCAGTCTACCGTGTGAATGTACGTTCATGTACCCGCTGCATGATTACTGCACAGGGAGGTGACTTCAAAATAATATTCTTCTCGCGGTCGGCATGACTTTTTCTAAGCATTATTATTAAATAATTTTTTGGGCTACCATCTTATGCACATCGTGAGTTTTTTCTGTACAAATGTGGCACAATCATCATCATGACCCGTGCTCTATACATTGCTGGATGAAGATCTCATATTGCCGTGGTCATCTCTCAAGGTCGCACGATATGATAATTCATCTCGCTCATGAACAAGGGCTCATTTAATCCCTGTATCTCCATGGTGAATGTCCTCTTGGAGATGTTCCCTCCTTAGCTGCAACT